GAGGTCCCTTCCAACCCTGAACATTCTGTGTTAAGAAACCAAGCAAATATCAAACACTGCTGAATTTCCAGGCTTGTTATGCACGTTCAGGTCAAAGGAATTTGTAAGAGGTAGGTGGTTTTGAGGGCCTAAAATCAAAAGCTTTTTTTTTTTTTTTTTCCCCCACCCACCCCTGCCTCTCTTAGGTAAGAAAAAAGGACCAGATCAACATTGAAACAAAGAACAAAACTGTGAGATTTATTGGTGAGCTTACCAAGTTTAAGATGTTCTCCAAAAACGATACTCTCCACTGTTTAAAGGTTAGTGTTGTGGTAATCCTGTACTTCTGTGTACTGATAATGTAGCCCCAGCCCATTTCCCTTCATACTTCTATTGCCATTCTTATAATACTTTTAAAATGAGATTAATGTTTTGAAATTTAGTTCAGTACTGATTTGGATCAGTAAAATAAACTTGCATTTTTTTTTCTTAAAGAATTCAGATCACTCCAGAATAATGTAAAGTTTCATAGCTATATCTTACTGTTTTCTGCAGTTGAAAAAGATATTTAAGGTGTTTTGTTTATACCAGATGCTTCTGTCAGACTTTTCTCATCACCACATTGAAATGGCATGTACTTTACTGGAAACCTGTGGAAGATTTCTCTTCAGATCACCAGAATCTCACTTAAGAACCAGTGTTCTCCTGGTAAGAGAAAACTCATTGTGTTATGTGGAGGAGGGTGTCACGCGCTGAATTAAAACTGCTGCTTTTATTTTCTGCTTTGTGATATGGTCTGGCCATAACGATGATTGCAACTAGTATCTTAATTGTCAGTTACAACGTTCAAGCACTAGTAAGTGAAAACTTTCTTTTAAGTTTTATCTTGACTGCTGAGGGAGGACCAAGTTCTTGATTCTTTAATAAGAACAGAGATAAATATGGGAGGACAATGAAATCAGTTTTCCTGATATCTTGCCTCCTCTTTATGGAATGGCTCTGAGATGGACCGGCGTTACATATATTGAAGTCTGAGGCTGTTTTAGCACTCTCAGCCTTTGTCAGTACTCCTGTGGATTTGTTTTGTCTTGGTGTTTATAGCCTGTCTGGTGGTGTCTCGGCTCTGAGATATTACACCTGAGAAGAGCTGAGAAAGTATTTTGGAGAACTCAGGTCGACCTATAAATGACTTAAAATGTAAATGAAGAACTAGATTTCTGAAGCAAAAATCTATTGCTTTTGAACTACACACAAATTGGAGAGAAGGCAAAAAAAAAAGAGGACGAGGTTGAAAAAATATAGTAGGTGTACTTGAACACGACGGAGTTACTGTTCAAGAGGAAGAATGGTAGCGAGTGGAACTGAAGGTGATAAGGTGTTTCACCTGGGCACAATTGTGAAGGAGGTGATTTCTGTGCTGTATGTAATCATCTGGGGTTCTAAATTTGGAGGAAAAGTTTACGAAGACATTAGAGGAAGGGGTTTTAGAAACAGAGATTAGTAATTAAGGTAAGAGTAGTAGTGATATTGGTAAGTCTAAATCAGCAGTGGCAAAAATTTGAAAATAACCAAAATTAGCTTTAGGTCTTCTTTGGTGTGCAAATTTGAGCCCAGAATATTATGTTCATTGGCCTGAGAGAGAATCTTAAAGCTCTGTGTCCAAGGCAAGAGACTGAGTCAAACGTGGTTGAAGAAGTCCTTCAGGGACAGATGCCAGCAGTAGGAAATTGCATTCAATTAAAAGCAGCTTAAGCAGATACAGGCCCACTGGTAGTTCATGTTGTTGCACTGAGAGTCACTTTTAATGTTCCTGTCAGCTTGTGCTGCAGGAAGTTTGTAAGTGTGTATCTGCAGTAGAGAAAGCGGTCTCTGCGTTTGAGGGAGAAAGCGGATGTAACTCGCCCTTCTGGAAGGGAGCAGTTTTAAGTGTTTGGAATCTTTTTCTAGAGACAGAGCCCTTAAGCTGTGAAATATCGCTGCCTCTGCTGGTTGTATCTCCTTACCAAAGCGCAGGCTTACACCTGGCAGTTTTTTCTCTTTAATCTATAGCCTCCCTTCCCGTGCTGTTCAGTTAATGGAGAAGCAGTTGTTGCACACTTGGCTGTATTGATGTACAATTTCTTTTCCGCAGAATGCTCTTTCTTTTTGAACTTCTTCGAATGTCAGCATTTGTTGTGGTAGTGCAGTCACAAAAGGAAAGAGATGCACAAATTAACTGCAAGTTCTTTCTCATGCTTTTTGTTGCAGTAAGCTCTGTATCTTCAATCTCTCCATTTTCTAAAGGTTTTCTAGCTGGTGTGTTTCATTGTTAAATATATTTCTTTCCATAATCAAGTATTTTCCCTCTGAAAACACTGTTCCGTTTTCTTTAAAAGCTACTTTACTCATTGCTACCTGTTTGGGTTTTTTGGGGAGTTAAAAAATGTACAAGTCAGAAAAAATTTAAATACCTCTACCAGAGCTGCTTTTTGTGACTGCTTTTAGTCTTGTACACCACAAAAATGCTGACTGATATCTGTGTTGTGCAGGATGAATACTAAATGTGACTTAACTGAAGTGCAAGACAAACCGCAAACACTGGTTCGATAACTGAGGCTAAAAGCCTCACAAGGTTTTGTATAAGTAGTCTTTTCTTCTGCGTTGAGGAACCAGAAGATAGAGATAGCAACTAAGTTTGGACTATCTCTTGATTAGGATGATAAAACAAACTAAATAGATTTATAATCTACCACCACCTTCTAACATTGCGCTATAGAGATTAATTTTGGCTTAAAGAGTATTGTACGTATTGAATCATAGTCTTATGGTCCCAGTTAGTGTGAACTGTAGAAGAGTAGAAGGTTACTTGCAAAGCAAGCTAATTAGGATCTTGCAGTAAAAAGTAAATGTAAAGCTGATCTTATCAATTAATCTTATGGGTAGAATTAATTGTTTGAAGGATCAACAGGCCTTATTAGTCTTAGTCTTTACTGCTGCTGATGTATTATATAATAAGACGCCAAACAGGCTGTATATCTCTTATGAAAATCAATACTTCTTTGTCCTAGTGGGGAAGGAAGTTAAGAATGGATTTTAAAATAATTAAGCGAAAATTACTAAAAAGGAGTAAAGTGTTCTGTAAGAGTGCCACAAACTTAGCGACACTAAGTGACTCATTCTAGAGAAGCATTTAATGGTCACTTTTTGATTTCGTAGAACTATGTTCGTGTTTTACAAATTAAAGATTCTTCTTTTATCTGTTTGTTTCTGTTAATCATTCCTCTTGGCAAGTCTTTAAAATTCAGTGCCTTTTATGTAATTTAAAATATTAATGTAAAACTGACTTGGCTTTAGGATTGGTCTGAGAAAAGGATTATTTGAATTGGGGCTTTAGAAGGAAGATGAGCGTTATCTCAGTCTATGTTTCTGTAACAGAATCGTGTTAAAATGACAAATTCTTGTGTTATACTGTTGTGGTCTTGTTAAAAGAGTGTTTGAAGTCCGGGTATTAAAAGCTTTCTGATGCAGTGTTAATCCTTTAACTTGGACAATTGTGTCAGATTGTCTTTTTAACCTTTAGGGCAAGATCACTTGTATTTATGAATGCTTAGAACTTAAGCTACACAGTGGCTTGTTCTTGGGATGGCTCCTTTTATAGATGCAGTGGAAGCTGTGGGAAAATGTTGTTTGTTCAGGCAGAGGCTGTGACAAAATAACTGTAGGTAGAAGGAGACTGTGTTAATTCACTGTAACCATCATGAGCTTCCAAGAGATTTAATATTCTGGTTTTGAACTGTTGGAACAGGTAACGGGACGGAGCAGTGTAGGTAGGAAAGGGAAGGAGCAGGTGAACGGTTTCAGTATCGTGTTACAGTTTGATAATTTAAATGTCAGTCACACTAAAATACTTTCCTGAATTGTGCTTTTCCTGCTCATGAGCTTTGGTGACTTCCTTTTTTTTTTTGTTTTTTTTTGTTTGTTTGTTTGTTTGTTTGTTCTATTTGCAAAAATACTATCTCCTACAATGGAAACTGGCATTACCAGGTTTGGGGCGAGGGGAAGAACAGTAGCAACACTACTAATGAGAGGAGCGCCTCCTAATTCTCACCAGATTTTCTTTTGAAATGCAACTGCAATACATGCTCCGTGCAGAGAGGTTTTATTACCAAGAAAAATAACCCAAACCCTTCTACTGGTTTATCCTGGACATTTTAATGTTGTTTGTGGATCTCTCTTTGTCAAAGAGAGAAATGGAAACTTAATCTTCACATGTAATGTGGTACCTTTGTAGTTCTTCATTTTAGCCTAGTAAAATGAAGACCCAAAGTAGTTAATAAGCTAAAAGCGCTTTAAACTGCAGGTCTTGCTTTTTTCTTCTGAAATGTTTTCAGAGTAGTGGGTGTGTATTGTTGCAGTTTGTTTCCTGCCTGTCCATCTGACTTGATGCCTTAAATGAAAAAGGATTGAAACACACAGTTAAAGTGATGATGACTTTTTAGTTCAGCTTAAGACTAATACAGTCCACTTAGAATATGTTCTTGAGGTTGCTCAGGTAACAGGAAAATATATAAATTGCATACTTTTAGGGCTTTTTAAATTTCATTTGCAAGCCCTTCTGCCATTTTCTCTGTTACTTTGCCCCGCTTCATTTTTCAGTTTATAGTAAAACGTGATAAATGTCATTAAGGCAGCAAAGATGTATTTTCTCCTGATGCTTTAGAAAACGTGAAAAATTTACAGTGGTAATATTACCATGTATGGCATATTAAGATTTTGGAACTTTTCTACTGTAAGTGGCTTCACCGTGTAAAATATATATGCTTAACTGTTAAAAGTGCTGTGTGTGCATTAAGCACCTGTAGCCAAACTTGTCAGAAATTTCATATTTGGAAAGGAACAGTCTCAGGGAATCAGAGGAGAGGCCATTTGTGTCGGGGAAGAGGGTAAGAGTTAAATGCCTTAGTCTTGGTTTCAGATTGAGACATTCCAGGCAACAGATGCCGATGATAGTAACCCAACACAGAAGGTGATTTTATGTTACCCAGAACCACTCTTCCTCATTGAATTAGCAGCTGAAACTCAGTGTTGAGGAGCTGCTTGAGTGTGTTTACATTGAACTGAATCACTGCCTTGTAGAAGAAATTTTAAATTACTCAAGTTCAGTGGAATGTCTACCAGTGTGGAAAATTGTGCTTCCTTACCAAAGATCAGAGATTTCAACTCTTTTCATTCGTTTCCTGGACTGTGTGAGTGTAAATACTACCATCTGTGTGTGGTGATAAAATGGTACTCGCACATTAGTTTTATTTAGCTGTTTTATGCTGCAGATTACTGTGTAGCCAGCCTCTGTGAAATAAAATAATGGAAACCAGTGCAGTTTCTTTTCCTGTTGAACCTCCTTAAAGTGATTTAGAGTATACGGGATCATATAATGTATGCAAAAATTTAATGCAAGTACAGAATACACAGGCACGTATATAAATACACATATCACAGAATGTCAGGAGTTGGAGGGGACCTCTGGAGATAATCTAGTCCAACCCCTCTGCCGGAGCAGGTTCACCTAGAGCAGGTTGCACAGGGTGGCGTCCTGGTGGGTTTTGAATGTCTCCAAAGACATCTAAAAAAATTACTTGATAATGGAATTAAGCTCATCCTCATCTTTAACTGTAAAAATCAGCAGCATAGAACTGATACTTCAGTTCGTTTGCAGAATTTTTAGATATGTTTTTGAAAACCCACAAAATAAATCTTAAAGTACATAGCCAGAATGACATATGGAGGAAAAATTGCATTCAGTGAGAAAAGTTAAGACAAATCTGACACTTAAGTGTAGTAGCTAGAGTTGATGTAGTAGCCTTTAACTTGTCTGATTTTCCCTGAAATACTACTTGGTGGTAGGTACTGTTTTTCTTGCAGTCTCCTCCACTTGGGTAAGTGGCAAGAATGAAGCATGTGATAAGGAAAATGCTGCTGCCTAAGCCATTGAAAATTCGTATGAAACTATTAATATAAATGCTCTGGAGTTGTGTCTGATGTAAAAAGTAGATTGGCACTCTCAGGATGATTCACTAGGCTTGTGTCAAGACATCGGTATTTCAGCTACTTGAGTTAAACAGATTCGTGTTTTGAATAGTGCAGCTAATAATCTTACTAACCACTTATCTAAACAGTAGCATTTAGATTTTGAGTTAAACTTTAAATGCTTTTCTGAAACCTTTTCCACCACAGGTGAACTGTTACATATATATATAAAAAAAAAATGAATTGTAAAGAAAAATTACCTTGGAAATAGCAGCACAGGACCTCACAGAGGTTTTGTTCTTTCGTCTCTCTATCCAAGCTTTTAATTTTTCTGCAACCTTTTGTGTTTCCTTTATCCCAAATATAATTGTAAAAGCCTTTGGCTTAAAAACACAGTATGTCAACATCTTAAACTAATAATTTTAATTTATTTTCAGGAACAAATGATGAGAAAAAAGCAAGCGATGCATCTCGATGCACGCTACGTTACAATGGTAGAAAATGCCTATTACTACTGTAATCCCCCTCCAGCTGAAAAAACTGTGAAGAAAAAACGTCCTCCTTTACAGGAATATATTCGTAAGCTTCTTTACAAGGATCTTTCCAAGGTTACCACAGAGAAGGTAAATCCTTTTGAAAACATTAATACAGACTTTACTGGAAGTGATGTAGTACTTCTGAAGGGTTTGGGAAGGGCTGTAATTTTTTTCATTGCAGTGAAGAGGGATCATTTTTATATCCCTGATGGTTAAGATAATTTTTGTTTCTTTGAAGCTTGAGTCATGGACCTGCCCTCTCCACAGCATTACGTGCTGAACAAACAGAGAGTGAAATGAGAATGTTCGTGCTAAGTATCTTTTTTTCATAGAATCATAGAACGACCTAGGTTGGAAGGGACCTTAGAGATCATCTAATCCACCCTCCCTGCCATGGGCAGGGACGCCTCTCAACTAGATCAGGCTGCTCAAGGCCTCATCCAACCTGGCCTTGAACACCTCAAGAGAGAGGACAGCCACAACTTGTCTGGGCAGTTTATTCCAAAGTCTTGCCATCCTCATACTGAAGAATTTTTTTATCAGAGTAAGAGACAAAAGGCTACAGTTAAATAAAGACTGTAAGAGCAAGGAAAATATCGAACAGCTTGATTATTATCTAGAGAACAGCAGTTGGGTCACATACGTGAAGTTTTCTGTAGCTACTGCAGGTCTGGAGGGTGCTTGATAAAGAGGAAGAGGTTGCTTGTGGGTGCAACGGTGAGAAACGGGATGACGGTGAGTATCTTGATAATTTGCCTGCTAAAATGTTAAGCGTGTGTTAAAATTTGGTTTAGGTCCTGCGACAGATGCGCAAGCTGCCTTGGCAAGATGCAGAAGTAAAAGACTATGTTATATGCTGTATGATCAACATCTGGAATGTGAAATACAACAGTATTCACTGTGTAGCCAACCTCCTAGCGGGGTTGGTCCTTTACCAGGAAGATGTTGGAATTCATGTTGTGGATGGAGTGCTAGAGGATATTCGACTAGGAATGGAGGTAAACATTTGGCAAAAGAGTAGAATAATCTTGCTTAAAAAAACGGAGTACTTGGACTCTGGATTTTTCCGTGAGCTGATTTTCTACCTCAGTTGTTTGCTTTATTTATATATGTTTATTTAAATTTAAAAAGAAACAAACCAACACTAACCCCAACAAACTGCAAAGATTACTAGGACAGTTGTTTTGTCCTGCTTATCACAGTAAGGCCATAAAACTTATTCTTTCACAGTGTAGTCAGATACATGCAACATGAAGCAACTTTGGAGACTAGTTCGTATTTTGGTAGATGTTATAATTAGAAAAATTCTCTGGACAGTGAAAAATCATTGTAGATTTAAGACTGTATATGCTAAATGTAATTGACTTTTATAATAATTGCTTATTGCCCAGTTTTTATAACTGCTTTTTAATTTTGTGTAATGTACGTAGCCACAAATAACCAGATTTGATTATAACAAATTCTGTTGGTCTTTTATACTGCTTTGTTCTTAAAAAAAAAACACACCAAAAAACCAAAAAATACCACAACAAGCCCTTTACAAAGATTCTATTGTGTCTCCATGATAAAGTGATGTTTTTCTGTTTTGTTAAAGGTTAACCAGCCAAAGTTTAACCAGCGGCGGATCAGCAGTGCCAAGTTCTTGGGGGAGCTTTACAATTATCGAATGGTGGAATCGGCTGTAATATTTCGAACTCTATATTCTTTCACATCATTTGGTGTGAACCCTGATGGCAGTCCTAGTCCACTGGACCCTCCAGAGCATCTTTTCAGAATCAGACTAGTTTGTACTATCCTTGATACCTGTGGGCAGTATTTTGACAGAGGATCCAGCAAACGAAAACTTGATTGCTTCCTTGTATATTTTCAGGTATTCTAGACTAAGTTTTATAGAGTTCTGTAGATTTCTTTAGAAAGCTATTCTAAGTCAGTCTGTTACGTATTTCTCTCATTGTTCTCTAGCACTATGATTTTTATAATCCTGTCTGACGGCAGCTTTATTTGAAGGTGGCGTGTTCATGTACGTGTAGATCTTACTGTTCCAACAAACCCAGAATGCTGGGGTAGCAGTTGATTCACTGAAGGATTTAGATTCCCCTCTTTAGGTGGTCTCAGCAAATAGAAAAATGGGCTGACAATAACCTTGTGAGTTCCACCAAAGGTGAGTATCAGGGCTTCCAGATGGGATAGAATAACTGTGCAACGACACCACCTGGCACCGACAGCCTAGAAGGCGGCTTCACAAGATATCGAGCCAGGATTCCCGGACTGCGTGAACGTGACATTGTTCTGCACCCTTAGAGTGAGGGAGGCCAGCAGCGTGCTACGTTGCCTTGGCAAGAGCATAGCATCAGCCTGAGAAAAGAGGAAAATGGTTGAGGTTTTTGTTGTTAGTTGATTTTTTTCTTCTTTTTCCGCTTCTCTTCTACTTGACACATGTGAGGCAACATCTGGAGCACTGTTTCCAGTTCAGGGCTCCTTGGTAGATGAGTGAAGAGACATCAGCAAACTGAGATGAGTCCAGTGGAGTGTCTCCAAAATGATCAGGGGGCAGTCAGTTCTCATGGTGTGAGTTTGCTCAGCCTGAGGAAGAAAACGCTGATTAAGTTGCTGTCTTCAGCTAATAGGATTTGTAGAGAAGGACAAGTCAAATACTTCTCAGGCATGCACGGCAAAAGAATAAGAATTAATGGTCACAAGTTGCAGCCAGGGAAGCTCTGACTCAGTAGGTGTAGAAGAGGGGGGGGAAAAAAGATTTTTGTAATGGGAGTGTTTAAACCCTGAAACAGGTCCCTCAGAAAAGGAGGAATTCCAGCCTGTGGAGTTGATGCTAAAACTCTTTCGACTTAGTTTCTTTCTATCTCTGATTCTCTCTTCAAATTGTGCTAAAACAGGGTTATTCAAAAATACAAATTAAGGTGATAACGACTTATTTGAGTTTCTCAGGATATGTATCCTTCATCTGTACATGACATTTAAAATGAAGTCTTTAAGTACTGTCGGATCTTGTTTTTTAAACGCAAAATAAACTTGTCAGCGAAGAAGTCATGTTTTTGTTACACCTTCTAATCTCAGCAAGTGTTCCTTTTGACCCTGTCACCTTTTAAATGAAGATTCTGTTACTTGGACTTCATTTTCAGATGCAATTTTTGCAATAGCTTTGTTCTCAGATTCTACTGAGTTCACTTAAGATGGGCATTTGCTTTTTTACCATTTTATTGTAAGAGGCATGCTAATTGGTGATAAACTGGATAAGTCACTTCATGCTAGCTGCAGTCTTAAAACGTTTTGTGGTGATCCCCTCACCTTCTGCCCATAATGTTCCTGTGGGAGAATTTATTTTCTTGAAAATTTTCAGAGGAAGGAATTGAAAGCTGGCTGGTTGGTAAGCACTCATCTCTCACAGAAGGAACCTGCCCTTAGAAGGCACTTTCTTTTCAGTGGTTTTTTGCTCAGTCTTCATACTTCTAACAGTCATGAGGGTAAATGGAGCATAATCTTAACGTTTCTGATATCCAGTGTTATCAAACAATATTTAGTGATAAAAGCTGTATGAAATTGGGGAAGAACGATGTGAAATCTTTTGCGTTTTCTGTTATACAAACATGACTAGGCATTACAAACTTTTCAAGTTAAATAGCTTATAAATGCCCGTGTGGATGTAATTTGTTTGAATATTTTGTGTTCTAGCGGTATGTTTGGTGGAAAAAAAGTCTGGATGTTTGGACAAAAGACCACCCATTTCCTATAGACATAGACTATATGATCAGTGATACACTGGAACTGCTGAGACCAAAGATAAAGCTCTGCAATTCGCTGGAAGAAGCTGTCAGACAGGTGCAAGACTTGGAACGAGAATTCTTAATAAAATTGGGTAAGAAAAGGAGATCTTCTTGACAACTCAGGCATTTCTTGGGTAACTGTTGTAATCCTCATTATATGATCTTTTAATTCTCAGGATAGAAATATTTCTGTAACTTCTTTGCATTTCTGTGATCACCACAGAGACCATGTAGAATTTCTAAAGTGATGGAGTGTTTACAAAAAAAAGTCAGTATGAATACTATTAATATAGTAGTATTTGGAAAGGGGGAGAATGTATGTGGGCAAATTAGTGTATGACAAGGAGGAAAGCTATGAATTTAATCCGAAAACTTAGGAAGTGCTCTCTTAGAAAAAGCCAGGAGTATCTGTGCGCTCTGTTCCAGTAGCCTCTTGGTGGGTAAGCACTGATGGCAACCAGCTTGGTTGTTTTGGTAGATTGATTGCTCAGAACTTTGTGTTCCTTCCTCAGTTCTTTTGAATTTTGACTAAAGTTTTGACTAAAGTTGCTGTGTCAAAGATAGCATTAGTGCAAGACTAGAACAGAAGAGAGAGTATGTTTTGCTTTTAAAATGCTGCTGGGTACTTGGAGCCTTACACTTGCTTTGGAATAATTTTGAATGGGCTTTATGTTGCAGTAGAGGGCAGAGGATGCTTTCCTTTTCATGAGTTAGAGCTTTGGATGGATTATTAAAGATACTTGTTCAGAAGAAGAAAAGTAATCTGTTGGCTAGGCTGTGTGCTAGCTTGTAGTTCCTGCTAAGATTTACAGTGATAGAAACTTACTGTTGTGTTAAAAATCACTTCGTTCTGGGAGAGAAAAGTTGGGCTTGCAGCACAGCTCAGCTGGCAAAATATTGATTAGTGTGTACCTAAAAGTGCTATCAGCATATTAACCTTTAAACTTTTTGTACATAGCAATTCTTACTGATTATTGGATGCTACTGTGCTCATTTCTCATCAAATGGAGTTCTATTCAGTCTTCGATTTTTATTTGATGACAGGCTTGTTAGTGATAAGCATATATGTAAATTTTACACTTTAAGTGTTAATTAGAGCCCTAATAGCACTTCATCTAGTTAGACAAGTTCAATTTTTAAGAGTAATCCTTTAATCAAGTGGGATGAGTATGTGTAATTGCTGGTAATACATTGCAACTTCTGGTTTAGGAGGATTTTTTTTAAAAGTTTGCTGTTTGTTTAAATAACATGCTTGGAAGTTGCCTGTGTAGTAACTGAAATACAGATAAAAAAATTCCTTGTGGTGTGATCTGCATAACTAGCTTTTATGCTCTCAAAATGATTCCTAAGACATAATTTAGAACTAATTACATAAACTTAAAAACTTTTTGAAAGATACTCAGCACTTCCTTCCTACAAATCCGAAGAATTTCTGTTTTCTGTATCACCACGGCTATAGCAGGTGGATTTGCTGTATTTAGGGGGGAGATCTGGGGTCACTGAACGTGGACAAGTGTTGGAGAACGTTTTGTTCTGTCCGTTCTGGCACGAGCAAAGCCCGTCCGCAGTAGAGCTGTTTCTGTAAGAGGTTGAGTCCCTCAACAAATGTCTTGCTTTTCTTGATATAAATACTACTTGCTATTGAACATCAATATAGGGTGGGATAGTGCCTAGTCCTCCTATTAAGACTGTTTGAAGATCATCTCAGGAAGGTTCTCATCTCTTTTTCTGGTATCCCCTAAACCACTTGTATATTCACAATCTAGATTTCTGCTTAGGAGTTGCATGCTGCTGCATTTGTTCTTCGCAGATGACAGACAAGAAACAAGCAGTGCCATGAGAATGGAGTTGATGTGTTCCCTTGCTGTTCAAAAAACTTCATGCTAACAGCCAACCCAAAGTGTGGTTGGTGTAATATCATCATAGGAATGACAAACTGCATAGGAACTGTGGTTATTCCTAGTAAAGTCTTCGAAAAATTACTGGCTTAGATCTGCTATGTTGCAGAAGGCTCTGGAGGATTATGTGACTTTGTAGAGTAATGAGAAAAAGACTTAAAAGAATGTGTGAGAACATACGTATCCTGGAAGTTTATTCTTTTTTTGCGTTGGATGACTTCATTTTGCTACAGCTGTTCACTAAAAATAGATTTTTGGGTTTTGCCAGAATCAGAACCATGCTCAATTCTTAAATATTTTCTTTGAAAACAGTTCTCTTTGAATTCTGTACTCAGACTAAATTGGCCACTGAAGCACTGAGAGCACTGAAAGAAGCTAAAACTTATTTTTCAGAACTGTGGGAATGGCTATACGATGCCCTTACTGAAAGAAAGCAGAGATTTAGGGAGGTTACACAGTGAACTAAATTGTCTTGAGAGACAGAGGTGGCAAGCAGAGATCAGTACGGAAAACTGGAAGATGAACTAAAACAGGGTGAAAGAACTGTCAGTCCTGCCTGCAGGTAGGATGAACGCACTTCGATAATACTTTTGGAAGAGATTCTGGTTTCCTAAAGCTTTTATACAGGCATTTACATCCTCATAGGTTCAAGTGGAGCCTCAGGGCATTAGAAGAGCATCAGAAAGATTTAACACAGGCTGAGAAAATTATTTCAAAACCGTTAAGTGACAGTAGCGTGAAGTACTGGGACCAAGACTGCAGGGGCTCGGTGTCTCCTGGGCTCTGGTTTGTAGAGCATCTCTGAGTGCTGATATTTCAGTGCTTGTTTCAGTAAGATCGCATGTTTAGTTTGAGAGTATTTGGAAGCCGTTTGTGCAGTGCAGCTTCTTGATTGCTGTTCTGTGGGGCATATTAAACATTCTCCAGGGAATATTAAACAGGCATATTAAACATTCTGGCAGGAAAATCCTTTAACACTAAGGTAACTATATAGAAAATGTGTCATTCAGAAGTCAAATATTACAACCTGCTGGAAATTTCAGGGTTCAGTAGATGTTGAAATGGACTTTAGAAATGATCTTCCACATATAACTTGAGTGTTCTAATTCTTATTCTAGTTCTATTCTATTTCCTTGTCCTAATTCTTTTGCTTTTTCCAAATTTCAGGAATTGTGAATGACAAAGATTCCAAAGATTCCATTACAGAAGGAGAGAATCTAGAAGAGGATGAAGAGGAGGAGGAAGGTGGAGCTGAGACAGAGGAACAATCTGGAAATGAAAGTGAAGTAAATGAGCCAGAAGAAGAGGTGAACTTAATTATTTACCTTTCTTTACGTAAAAAGAATGAGTATTCAGTATTTTGATTACTCATTGTGTTGCGGAGCCCTTCTGTGTCACAGAGTTAGCAGCTAAAATGTGGGTATGCACAACCTTGAGGATATTTCCATCCCAGTTTTGTATTTATGGAAAACTGAGTACAGAATGTTTGAGGCTTACTCCAGAGAAAATACAGCAGAAATTTGAATGTGGCAACTTTGCTCAGGGTATGTGCTGCTTCTCAACATAAAGCTGCCTTCATTTTTTTTGCCATGAAAAGTCTTTCAGATACTGTTCCTAGTTTCTTGTAGAAGGAAATGTGATGGGTAGATTTCGGAGCTGTTATGCGGGAAAAATACCAGGAAAAATGAGCTCTTCAGAGTATGGCTCTATAATATGAATAAATAAAAGATTTATGGGACATAACGACCTTCCTTGTTTACTGTGCCAATAATACTTTGAATCAAAAATGGTGGAGCCAGTAAAAAAGGCTTGTACATAGAAATTCTACCTTGTCACTATGACACAGCAAAGTCGACGTGATTGTGATAGTGTTATGAGGAAATAAGTTCATCGAGGAAATAAGTTCATCAAGGAAATCAGAAACACTTTTTCTTCTTACACTTGTGTTGGTTGGCTTACTAGTAAACTTTCTTTCAATCTGTGCCTCTCGTCATTAAAATTGTTGAGGTTTGGCTGAGTTTGTGCATTTACCCACAAATTAATAGTATCATCAGAATCATGAAGGGTTGGGTGGTGGGTAAGGAACCTCTGGAGATCTTCTTGTCCAACCTCCCTTGCTCCACAGCAGGTTGCCTGAGGCAATGTCCAATCAAATTTTGAATATCTGCGAAGGATGGAGGCTCCTCAGCCTATCTGGGCAAATCTGGTCCAGTGTTCGAACACCATCACAGTAAAGGAGATCGACTTTTCTTGTGTTTAAACTGACTCTTGGTCAATTTGTTGTTCGCCAGCACCCCAGGTCCTTCTGTGCCGAGCCACTTTCTCCAGCCTGTGCTAGTGAACGGGGTTATTATCGCTCCTCAGGAGCAGGACTTTGCATTTCCCTTCACTGAACTTCATGAGCTGTTGTCAGTCTGTTCCTCCAGCTTGTTGAAATCCCTCTGAGTGGCAGCACATCCCTCTGGTGTATCAGCCACAACTCCCAGTTTTCTGCTGTACATTTGTGAAAATGTCAGATAAAGCGGAGCGAGTTCAAACTGAAACATTAAATACAAAACATAGTTTACCAAGACTGAACTTAACTAAATGGGTTTGGATGGGGAGAAAGTAGGAAAGGTAGAAAATGTCTATGATGAACCAGGTGCAAGTGGTCTTTTTTGTTTTAAAATAGATATTTATTGAATATTTCAGGAGGGCTCTGACAATGAGGAAGAAGAAGGTGAAGAAGAGGAGGAAGAAAACACGGATTATCTTACGGACTCCAATAAGGAAAATGAAACCGATGAGGAGAACACCGTATGTGTTGTAGCCCTAAATATGAGCTGACATTTGCATCTTTGGTTTTCTTTACTGAATGTGTTTTGCCAATGCTGCTTGTGACATCTGGGAAAGCACAGCAAGAACACACCCTGCTATTCTTTCGAATACATTTTAGAGCTTATTTTTCTATTTGCAAACTTTCACTATTACCTTCTAAAAATACTTAACGCTCTTTACTACAGCATGTTTTCAGAGGACTGTACACTTTCACAGGTGGCTAGACTGGAAAAGATTGCATAAGTGATGGTTTAGCAGTGCCAGCAGTGCTAGCAAACGGATAGGGTACAGCAAGGTAAACTAGTTACCTAGTCTGCTACATCTCAAAACTGAAAAAGAGACAAATCAAGAAGTGCAAAGTTTCTAAAATACGAATTTGGGATTGACAAATTAAAACAACTGTAGCAAAAGAATCCATCTGACTGAGCCTGAATTGCATTTACGTAGTGAGGAAAGGAATGAAAATTACAGAACAATGTGTTGGGGTGCTGAATTTGAGCGTTCTTGTCATGTTGTGCGTTCCAAATACTAAAGGATAATATTTGTCTTGAAAAGACCATCTAACTTTATAGACTTAATGCAAAAACTAGTTAAATTAGGTGTGGTAGGCACAGAGACTTTACTTTGTTGCCATATTCAGAATGTGTATATATGCATCTGTACAGGTACTCTTGAGTGTATGTACAGCGCATTCTGAGTGGCCAGCCTTCATAATAATTAATGCAATAAGTGTCAGAAAATACTTCTTCAAGGAGAAAAAAAACAGGCTGAAAACATCTCTGTAACATTTCAGCTTTTTATTTGGAACTTTTGATAATGTATGACGTGGAAGAAGTGAGGATATTTTCCCACTTACTTCTAGACTGAGTATTCATATTTCTGAAGCTGATGTAATAGAAGGGTTTTTTCCTATTGCAATAGGAAGTAATGATTAAAGGAGGAGGACTTAAGCATGTCCCTTGTGCAGAAGATGAGGACTTCATTCAGGCACTGGATAAAATGATGCTAGAAAATCTTCAGGTATAAATATTTATTTTCTGTAATGTAGTTTACTGTACAACTAACTGGTTTTCTTTTTCCTAAGTAAATAAGTGATTCATGCTTGACACACCATACTAAAGAACGTGGATTATTTAATTATTGTTTGTATTTTTTTAAGTAGTGGCCTCTTCTCTGCAATTGATGTGTTTGGATAAGTAGCTTTTAGTAAAATAGCTGTTAATTGTATCGTTTGCCCCATGAATGTATTACAAGCTGACATTTTTTTCACTGGATGAATAATAACTGCATCAGATGATTCAACGCTAGACTTTATCCTAGACTATCCAACCCTAGGGTTTAATATGTTTAAAGTGTAGCTGTATTTAAGTTTACATAACCTTTAAGTCCTTTCTTTCTTTTTCTTTTAGTCATGTAATTTAAATATTAAGTATAGTACACCCTGTAGGAGGAATATGTTAATAAGATGCTACCAAAAAACACATTGAATGTAGAATGTCCATTTTCACGTATGTCTAATCAAGTTTCTAGTTTCCTTTGCATAAAAAGTTGTTATCCAAAATTCCTTTAAAATTTGAATTATTCTGTCCCTGTAACTTTCTTCTTCACAAGGAAAGAGAACAAAGGAAAATGTAAGAAAGCACAAGATGTTTGTTTATGTATTACTCTGTTTTCCTGGAAGGTTGAGCCTTTTCTCAATTATGAGACTATTGCCAGACTGACTGACGTTTTTGGCATCTGACCATTTATAGAATTTACTTTTTGGTTTTTAACAGCAACGGAGTGGTGAATCTGTTAAAGTGCATCAGCTGGATGTTGCTATTCCTCTACATCTCAAAAGTCAACTCAAGAAGGGTCCCCCACTGGGAGGTGGGGAAGGAGATTCAGAGTCTGGAGACACGATGCCATTTGTCATGTTAACACGAAAAGGCAACAAACAGCAGGTAAGAGTTTATGTAAGGTATAGGTATTGTTTCAATAAGTAAAATCCTTTCACTGTTTTCAAAGTCAGGGTTTTTTCTAGTTCTTCATCCTTTTCTCAGAATGGGATACCGACAACTTAATTTTGACAAGTAGAAAATACCATATGTAGTTTCTTGGAATTTTGGAAGTAGAAATAATGTATAAAAATGCCGTAGTTAAATTATACCATTATTGATTTCACTTGGTCATTACACCGGAAGAATTGTGGTATGTCTTACATGTATTTAAATATAGTCGTGGAATGTGAATGGATGCAGTTGGTGACTACCACTGAATGTTGAAAGGAGCAGGGGGGGAAAAAAAAAGAATGTTTCAGCAACTTCAAGATTCTACAGATCTTTCTGTGAACACTTTCAGCTTCAAATCAGGATATAAGGCATTGAGTAAATTCCATTTCCTAAGTAACTGCCACTTGGCTGAATTTGTTCGACTTGCAAAAAAAGCTGTTACCTCTGAAGCCATTTTTAGGGGACTGTTCCAGAACACATGGAGCGAGTCTCTTGGTGTAACTCAAATAGAAATCGTGTTGATAAAACAGATCAACCCCTTGTTTCATGCAGCCAAGCTTTGTATTTGTTTTGGCTCTTCCCTCTAGTATGTTTGACTTTTCCTAGGTCAGCAAATGCATAGTATGAAAATCAATACCTAACACATTCCACATGCCTTTCTTGTCACTATTTAGGTCTTCAGAAAACTTCTCGTTTTGGTTGTGTAAGTTGATGAAAATGGATGGCTCTGAGTTGCTATGGAAAGCAAACCATGCATCCGTACCTTTCAAGTGGTTAGATCCATGTCATCACTTTGTTTGGACTTTTTGTTACCTGAATTGTGACAGTGGTATAACAGTTGAGCTGTATAAACCTGAAGCAGAGTCTTTATCTTCCTTCGTATGAAAGACGCTTCAAAAATCTGTGTAGAAATAAGGTCTCTTCTCATAAAATACATGAACTTGTGAGGGTGTGCTGTGCTACGTGCTTTGGAAGTCTGAGTGGGCACACACATGCTTGTGTTTAGTAGTGATGATTAACTGATTCCCTTACTACATCTGTTTGGTTTTTCTGTTTTCCTGAAACTTGAATGCTATACACCAAGTTCTACAGAAGTTTTGAGTAGGGAAATTTTACCGTTGTCATTGGGCTGAGAAGGGCTTTAAGAGAGGACTCCTTTTTTTAAAAAAAAAGGTGTTCAGCTTCTTCAAGGTTATTTACTAGGAGTGTCTGTAGTTAGCAAGAATTTTAGGATCTTCATATTCTGTGTGAAGGGAAAATATTGCTGACACAGGGCTTTAAAAGAAAGCAGAACTTGTTCAGGGATTTTCTTTGCTCCTCCCCAGTATTTGCTTTTGGGAGTAGGCTCTTCCTGCCAAAACTCCTCAGTGTTTCTAGAAATGTAGAAAACACTTGCTTTATAGTTCTTGAGTCAATGAAAGGCTTCTTTGTCCATAGTTCTGTATTCAGGAAAAAGAAAAAAAGTCTTAACAGTCAATTTTAATGGAAAAATAAGCAGGAAAGAAGAGGTAGGATTGAAAAGAAAATAATTATTCCTTCTTATAGTACTTAATTTTAAAGCTGCATGAGCAGAAAGTGCAGAGTGTTGAGGCGATGGCCGCATACTTTACTCTGAAGTTACAGCTGTAACCTTTCAGCTTTTCAAACGCTGTCAAAAGGAATTTGCAGGTGACTTGGAAGGCTGGAAGTAACTTTTCGTCTGCACAGTTGCTGGAATGCTGAGCATCACCTCGCTGCACCATCAACCGGATCGCTTCCTGTGTTAGCACTTGGTTTGGTCTCTGTGTTGGTGCTGCTCAAACTAGAAATCTTCACTGTAAGAAGCTACTTACAGATGAAAATGAAACGTGCTGTGCTTCCTTCCAGAGATTTTTGTTTGGTGGTTGAGGTCCAGTCACCAAATACTCAGTTCACATGCCAGCGTTCAGCCAGATTTTAAAGGAGTGTTGACAACTAGTTTTTGGGAGCAGCACAGGAACAGCTGATGGCTGTTTATTTAGTAACCACACACAACCTGATTTAGTAGTCATTGCAGGCTGATAGTAGCAAGTACACCGTGTTTTAGCCTTTTTTGTCACACTGATTTACCAAAACAGGCAGTGGCAGGTATATTGGGCAGATCGGTGTCTTCCAGTAGACAGCTGGTTTTTTTTCACCTGTCAGCTGTAGCACAAGAGCTGTGTGACAAAACTTACAGAATGAGTAGCAGTAGAAGTGGACACGATTCTTGGAAACTAGACTATGGCATCGTGATTTATCCACAATTCACAAGTGTGCAAGTGGAAAGGAAGAAATATTGCCGTCAGAAGGGGTCACAGCTGAGGTCTGTCTAATACCACCGGATATTTTTGAAACTGTCCAAGACATTTTATGCCGTGTAGGTGTGAGCAAAGGTGAGATTTAGACAGTAAGTTTCAAAAAACCTGGTTAGTGCCCCAAACAAATGATGTTAATTAATTTGAAACATGTTTAGCAAGGTTCCATAAAAAAAACAGTGATAGCCATGAGATGTCCCAGTCTGTGCTTGCATGTGAAGTTCTTTATCTCCTTGATGTGTAAATGAAGTCTGGAGCATTGTCTTCTGAAGGGTCATTTCTGAGGTTTCTTCAGTTTGCCATCTTCTAAGTGAACTCCTTATTCTGTCTCCATCTCACGGATTTTATAAGAGGATTTTTATACGACTCTTTGCTCTTTGATTTTTATTCTTCCCAGCTCACCTTCATAGCAAGCTTGCATTTATGTTCAATATAATATGTTATTACCACCCCACTCCCCAAACAAAATCTTTTGCCTGATTTGTCTCATTTAAATAAATCTTCTAGTGATAGGGTTTCTCTTGTCTTTGAAAAAATCTGTCTCAGCTGTTTCAAACACAATTTTCAAATGCTGCCGTCTGAGTACTTGGTGTTGTCTCACACTCATCATTCTTCTGCTTCTGGTGAGGCACTGCTGTCTAATAGAGACCCTGACATTTCTGTGTAATTATGATATTAAATATTAACTGTACACACAGAGGATTTTGCTTTTACTATATGTATTTTCTCGCATAGGTTTTGATAATATATCTTTCTGCCTGCAGTTTTTGACAGTTTTAGCAGAAAAGAACAGTTAAATTGGCTTCTATTTCTGTGGAAATAAACTTTGAATGACAAGAATGGGCAGCAGGATTCACAGTAGTAGTTCATGGTATATTGAGAGTGATTATCCTTAAATGTATTACCTTACTTATAGTATGGAAATACTTCTTTCTCATGGATGTGTGGTTGAAAGAGGAAGTTTTTCTAATTGTGTTCACAAATTGGAGCATTAAGAGGTTTCTAAAAACTATTGTTTAGGTTGAATATAAAATTAAGAGTCAGTTCTCTGTTTTGGAACAATTGTGAAAAGAATTTTGTGGGAACAAAAACTTCGGATTTCTGAGTTTGGGGAGAAAGAACGCATCTTCTCTGTTCCTCTCTGAAAATCTCGGCTGTGTTTTTCAGAGAGAGGGTACTTCTGTACCAATCTTACCTTTAGTGTAGCTTGTGGCAAAATCAGGCAACAAATTTGATGTGTGAGTGAGGAGGAAAAGATTAAATTTGACACCACAGTTGTCTCCAGATCACTAAGAAGCGCTGTGGAGCTAGAATCATTCTTGAAAGGAAAATTACTGGACAAAGAATGCCAGGGGATTTCTGAAATGCTTGGAATGTTTCTTTTCTGTTATCACAAGGGGTAATTGGAGAAATTCTGCCCAGGGGCTTCCTCTCTTTGGGAGATATAGACCTTTGGAGGCAGATGCAGCTTTCAGTGTAACTCACTGTGAGGGTATCGGTTTATAGCAAAGTAAGAAATACAGCATGTAGCTCTATGTACCTGGTGAAAGTTAGTAATTTTGTTACTATAAATACTGTGTGTAATAGTCTTTCGCCTAGCAGTACGTCAGCCTAGTTTTGGTATGTTCTGTGTCTTTGGAAGGTCTGAATATCTTCTATTTCCTTGTGCTTCCTTATGTGAAATAGAGTTTTTAAAAAAAAACCAAACCAACCATGAAGCCAAGCCAATCACCAACATGTTTCCAAGTAGAAAATTCTGTAGAAAGTATCTCGTCACAAAAACCTAGACATATCCATAACCTTTGGTATTTTGGAGAGGTTTGTGGCTGTTTCTTTTTATTTTTTTTCCTGTGATGGGCACTTAAAAACTTATTTTATTTGCAGTTTAAGATCCTAAATGTACCGATGTCTTCCCAACTTGCTGCAAACCACTGGAACCAACAGCAAGCTGAACAGGAGGAGAGAATGAGGATGAAAAAGCTCACTTTGGATATCAATGAACGGCAAGAACAAGAGGACTACCAGGGTAAGAAAATGACCAAGTGTTTAATCTTTATTTTCAGAGGAATTTCTTTGGATCTACAGAAGATATTATTTGTGATAATTAGTAGTTCACGTTCTGAATATTGCTTAGCAATAAATCTGTATTTTAGTTTCAGTAGTTCATTATTTAATCTCTGATCTCTTTGCTCAAAGAAGGTTTTATAGCTCCTCCATAAAAGGGAGTTTTTAAGTGAGCTCAAATCTCAGCATTTCATTTATTTTGGAAAAGGGGAAGAACTATGATTGTTCACTGAAAAATAAAATAACACAAAATTAATCCGATGCTTGTGGCATTGTCTCCATTATTACAAGACAATTGAGTTGGATACAAGAGGAATTAATTCTGTGCAACTTAAACTCTAAGACTTGCAAATACTAAGAGGCAGCCTTCAGCTGAGGAAGACAAACTGTCACCTGAGTTTCATATTGCTGACGCTTCTAGGAGTGCTACAAATGTGAAGCATAACAATATATTAACAGAGTGAAGGTTGCGTATAAATTATATCATCTCGTTTGTTTTGTAAACATGCTCAAGTCAGGCATTTTGGAACCTGGACAGACAGAAGCAAGCAGTTAATACAACAGATCACAGAGCTCCTAAGCTTCATGTCTTTGGTGCTGGGTGCTTTGTTTTGTTGCTGTTGGGTAGGGTTTTTTTCCAGACTTAACTTTCCTTGGCTTACTCAGATAGTAAAAACCCCTCTTTTTCTGATTACAAGTTTAGTTCTTGTACTATCAAAGTTCTAAAAGGAGTTTTAGATTTTGTAGTGGTTTTAGAATTAGAGCTGCTTTAATTTAAATTTCCCGTTTCTTGATGAATAATTATCTTTCAGTAAATACCTTCAATGAGATTTCCTGCTCATTAACTACTTATTAACTGTGATTAGTACCCAACTGCAACACCTTTACAAAAAATGAAATTAGGACTGTGGAGATGTTAAATGGAAATACCAACTGAAGAACCAAACACCATCAGTTTCTTATATTTTCGAGATGCTGTATATAATAGTATAGAAGGAGAATCAACACAGAAGAAATAGGTGTTTTCCATAATTTACATCCATTTTTAAAACAACTGTTGATTCTTTTTTAATAACCTGAGTAATGCACACAGTAAAACCAAACTAAAAAGTACCTTTTAATCAGGTTAAATTAAGCAGGCCAAATTACATTCCTCTTTGGAACTACTTTTTATTTAGGTTTGTGCAGTTGCTTGTTACTTTTGAAGAGTCAGCTTGCCTGTAACAAGTTGGTGTGTACCCACTGAAAGAAAGAGTTGGTTTTAAATTTCTCTTTCAAGCTTTGAAGTTACCAAGGGAGGAAGAAGTCTCAGTTTCTGGAAGAGTGCCTCAGGGTTGTCCTAACATTTATCATATACATTTTGGTTTTTCATCTGCACGGGATAGCTAATAGATGAAAATTCACCCACGTACTTCAAAGTAGTATCAGATAATTATTTAACACTTCAGCAAGGGATATTACAAATGTTTTTCATTTAAAGAAAGATTACAAACTAGGTGACTCTGATTTAGACTAATATTTTTCCGTGTAGATTTTTTTCTTCACTAAAACCAAAGATCATAGAATCATAGAATCATAGACTGGCCTAGGCTGGAAGGGACCTTAGAGATCATCTAGTCCAACCTCCCTGTCATGGGCAGGGACACCTCTCAACTAGATCAGGCTACTCAAGGCTCCGTCCAACTTGGCCTTGAACACCTCCAGGGAGGGGGCAGCCACAACATCTCTGGGCAATTTACTCCAAAGTCTTACCACCCTCATACTGAAGAATTTCTTCCTAAGATCCAATCTAAATCTATTCTCCTTCAACTTAAACCCATTTCCCCTTGTCCTATCAGTGGACACTCTTGTAAAAAGTCCCTCCCCAGCCTTCCTGTAGGTTCCCTTCAGGTATTGGAAGGCAGCTGTTAGGTCCTGCCAGAGTCTTCTCTTTCCAAGACTGAACAATCCCAGCTCCCGCAGCCTGTCCTCGTAGCAGAGCTGCTCCAGCCCCTGGATCATCCTTGTGGCCTCCTCTGAACACGCTCCAACAGCTCCATGTCCCTCTTATGATGGGGACACCAAAACTGGATGCAGTATTCGAGGTGGGGTCTCACAAGAGCAGATGTGTTCAGCCTAGCTAACACATCGTGCTCACTTGCCATTTCTTCCTTCTGTTATCTTCTCCATTACTCAATTTCTCAGTTACTCACTTTTCTGAAGCCCGATACTTTCTTTCACCTACAGTGGGGAAAACAGAAGAGCCAGGCATGCACATACTTGCTCGTTCGTTGCTTGCTTCTAGCACCTGGCTGGCAATGTACCATAATCTCCTTTTGTTTTCTTCCTGGGTCTCATCATTGCCAACAGAGGTGTCTCCTGGCAGACGGAATTGTTGTGAAGGCTGTTATTTCACAATGTTTACCAAAATGGACTGTCAGTATGTTGAACAGCTGCCTGGCCTTGTCCAGGTTGGGATAGGGGCATATACAGAGTGTGAACACACGGTCTGTTAACTGTTGATGCTAATATTGTGTATGAAATCATCATCATCATAGAATGGCCTTGGCTGGAAGGGACCTCAGAGATCATTTTAATCCAACCTCCCCGTCGTGGGCTGGGGCTGCCACCTCTCTACTAGATCAGGCAACACATGGGGACTAAACAGGGAATCGAACCTGGGACCTCGGTGTTCTCAGCACCGTGCTCAACCCACTGAACTAACCAGCCACTCCTAGTTTCCCAGTTTCTCGAAGACTGGGTGGATAACTTACTGAAAGCTTTGCGTGCGTTTTGCAGATGGCAAGAGAATCTCGTTAAGAGTCTCCAGTTTTGCCCTGCGCAAGTTGTTGTGAGAGCAGTGGAAGTTTGTTTCTAGCAGATGATGGGTCTGTGTCCCCAATGAGATTACCAGAGATTAGAGAACCAGACAGAGCAGACTTTCAAACATAATCTGTTTAACAGCTTATTCCACTTTTCCCCTTCATTTATTCCATCTGTCTGTTTGCTGAGTAATGCAGGTTCTTTCACAGGTGGGCTGTCAGAAATACTTTCTATTAGGTGCACTAACAGATGGGCAGAGGTTACGTGGAGGCTCCTTTGAAGTACTCGTAATTATATTGGGTACTTAATAACCATTAACTTGGCCTGGTGAAGAGCCATCTTTTATCATTAAACAAAATGAAATTTTGGAGGTGAAGTTCTACGAAATGCCAAAATGCAACACTTGCCTAGCTTAAACTGCCCAAAAGTAGAAGGCCCAAGGGTTAAGCTGGGCAGCGTAGGCGTCTTTCTGCACCCACCAATTTCTTCCCTCTGACCCTAAAGTGAAAAATCTCCGTCCGTGAGGCAGCTGGTGGAATGTAGGTCAGCTGAGTCACCTTCCTCAGGTGCTGCCCGTCTTCTCTGCAAAAGGATCCTATTATGGCTAGCTTAGACTTCAATACTTGCCTTCTCAGTGCCTAATTTTAGGACAGACTTCTTCCTCAGGCTTTAATTGGCAGCAGCGTTGTCCAATTGTTACTATTTCAGGGTGGTTGAATGTTGTGGCTTTTCAGGCTGCTGTGAAGCTTTGTCCCTGGTCATCGATAGAGGAAGTGGTGGCCGATGGCTTTACAAAGAAGAGGTCAGGGCTCCTTTCTTTAAGCGCCTGGGATGAAAATCAGTGCTGGCAGTTCCTTCTGTAAGAACATCTGGAAAAGCAAATTCATGTTGCAGGGTAGCTTGGGTTTATCAACGCTGTCTGTGCAATTCAGTAACATTTTTTAAATTAGCTGTTGTGGAATAAATTCGATGTTAGCCCTGAAGTATAGCAAAGTGTAAATGAAGTGTCTTTTTTGCTAGGTGGCAGTGAGATGTGCTTGTGTAAATTCCTCTTTAAAAAGATGCATAGAAAATGTATTTAACGTTCTTCTGTATGCAATTACAGAAATGTTGCAGTCTCTGGCACAGCGTCCAGCTCCAGCAAATACTAATCGTGAACGGCGGCCTCGTTACCAGCATCCGAAGGGAGCACCTAATGCAGATCTAATCTTTAAAACTGGCGGGAGGTAGGACAATCTTCCTTTAAATGTGGTAATTCTGGTTCTAAGCAAGTAATTACCTTCATAATTGAACCGGGTAACGATCTGTGTAGTGCAAGTGCATTTGTTAGTAGTTTCCATTGTAAAGGATTCTACTAAACTACTGGTTTGTGCTTCTAACACAGTGTCTGTAAATAGATCCTTTACCCATGTCTGGAAGCCACAAGATTATTTTCCAGTTGTGAAATGACTGGTAGTTTGAGCCTTTCTTGAAGAGATGCAAATCTGCTTTCTCAACGAGAGGCAGGGGATAATACTCAAATATCTGGACAAATTCCCATTGTGTTTTTTCAGTTTGAATTTGTGACTTGTACCTCTCTGTTTAAAGCCCTGAATGGAAAGAAGATAAAGGCTAGGAGGAGGGAGGAGAACCTTTGATTTATGGTGTGCAAGAGCTTACAAAAACCAGCATTACCATGAAAAGAAACATTCTGGATTGCCTGATAGTCATTGTACAGTTTTAATATCCCACTCAGAGTAAGCTGGAGAATAGACCATTACATTAACCCAGCAGCACAAATATGAACAGGCAGAATTTCAGGTGAAGCACAGACACCCTTCATGTTTCTTTTCTTTGCAAGTTAATTTCAGAGGTGGATACATGGGAGCAGCAAGTGGGGTGAGAGAGTTCACCTACCGTGGAGTCTGCCTTTGTAAACTACAAATTAGTTGGTGTGATGTAATAATGTTGTGTTACAGTAACATTGCCAATTTCTCTCTGGTACCTTTTTATGTGCATTTTATAGCTTCCTGGTGATCACTCCACTGAGACCCTATGCAGATACTGCTCATATCTTTTAAAAAAAAAGTCCTTTTTGAAAACAGACTGCATTTTACTTTTTTATTTTTTTAATTAAGCATGTGTAACTTGATAAAATGCAGGTAGCTTTTTTGTATCACTGGCATGATACTGTCATAGTGTAACCAGATAGTTTGTATTTCTGAGTTGCTGTAATATTTGTAGGTGTTTCATAAATGACTATGCAATCTTCTCTTCCACAAAATCATAGAATCATTTATGTTGGAAAAGACATTTAAGATCGTCAAGTCCAACCGTTAACCTAGCAATGCCAGGTCCACCACCAAACCGTGTCACTAAGCACCACGGCTGTGTGTCTCTTAAACATGTCCAGGGACGGAGACTCCTTAACATCCAGCCTAAACCACCCCCCAGGCACAACCTGAACCTATTTCCTCTCATCCTCTCACCTGTTGCCTGGGGCAAGAGACAGATCCCCACCTCGCTGTAGCCTCCTTTCGGGTAGTTGTAGAGAGCGAGAAGGTTTCTCCTCAGCCTCCTCCAGACTAAACAACCCCAGTTCTCTCAGCTGCTCCTCATCACACTTGTTCTCCAGACCCTTCACCAGCTTTCTTGCTCTTCTCTGGACGTGCTCGAGCACCTCGATGTCTTTCTTGTCGCAAGGGGCCCAAAACTGCAGAGTGCAGGGGTGTGATCCCTGCCCATGCCCTGCTGGCCACCCTGTTCCTGACACAGGATGGGATGCTGTTGGCTTTCTTGGCCAGCCGGGCACACTGCTGGCTCCTGTGCAGCCGGCTGTCAACCAGCAGGACCTTGGGCTCCTTTTCTGCTGGGCAGCTTTCCAGCCACTCCTCCCCAAGCCTGTAGTGTTGCCTGGGGTGATTGTGACCCAGGTGCAGGACCTGGAACTTAGTGTAAAGCTTGTACAGTTGCCCTCAGCCCATCGAGCCAAGCTGCCCAGGTCCCTCTGTAGAGCCTTCCTGCCCTCAAGCAGATCAACCCTTTGTCCCCGCTTCACGTCATCTGCAAACCTCCAGAGAGTGCCCATACTCCCCCTCACCCACATCATTGATAATGCTATTAAACTGACTCCAACACCGCGCCCTGGAGAACACTTGTAACCGGCCACTGGCTGGGTTTAACTCTGTTCATCACCGCCCTTTGGGCCTGACCTTCTAACTAGTTTTTGGTCTAGGGAAGAGCTCGCCCCCCCAGGCTGTGAGCAGACAGTTTCTCCAGGGAAGTGCTATGGGCGATGGTCATGTCTCCCAAATGCTGTGCAACCTGTATGAGGAGCACCCTGCAGTTATTCTTCAGATGTGGTAGCCAGACCAGTAGATAGGACATTCACATTATTTTTGATGCAGTTCTTTTGAAAGATTTTTATTTTCAACTGTTTTAGGGAAAATATAATTTAGGACTTGCCTGTAAACTAGGTCAGACACTGTCCAGAGAAAGGGACCTGGGGGTTCTTGTTGACAGCAGGATGGCCATGAGCCAGCAGTGTGCCCTCGTGGCCAAGAAGGCCAATGGCTTCCTGGGGTGTGTTAGAAGGGGAGGAGCTGGTAGGTCGAGAGAGGTTCTCCTGCCCCTCTGCTCTGCCCTGGTGAGGCCACATCTGGAATATTGTGTCCAGTTCTGGGCCCCTCAGCTCAAGAGAGACAGGGAACTGCTGGAGAGAGTCCAGCGCAGCCACAAAGGTGATGAAGGGAGTGGAACATCTCCCTGGTGAGGCCACCCCCCCGGAGCTGGGGCTCTTTAGCTTGGAGAAGAGGAGGCTGAGGGGTGACCTCATAAATGTTTATAAATATGCCAAGGGGGAGTGTCAGGAGGACAGAGCCAGGCTCTTTTCAGTGGCATCCAATGACAGGACAAGGGGCAATGGGTACAAGTTGGAACATAGGAGGTTCCACAAAAGCATTAGGAAAAACTTTTTCCGTGTGAGGGTGACAGAGCCCTGGCACAGGCTGCCCAGGGAGGGGGTGGAGTCTCCTTCTCTGGAGACATTCAAACCCACCTGGACACGTTCCTGTGTGACCTACTGTGGGTGATCCTGCTCTGGCAGGGGGGCTGGACTAGATGATCTTTCGAGGTCCCTTCCAACCCCGAACATCCTGTGATTCTGTGAAGTAGTGTTTGCTTGTTCAAATAACGGTGCCATGCGCTTGTGTTTGGGATGTAGTTTTGTATTATGTGATTTACTCTTTGTTCCTTTTAATCTGTAAGCTCCTTAAGCAGAGACCAGGAAGTTTGTTTCAGCAGGCGTATTTTATTTGTTTTACAGTGCAGTGCTCTGGTCACGCACCAGCTGAGCCATCTTAGCCTGTAGTAAGGGAGCGTTACTTTTCTTAACCCCCACTGAAAAACATTTAAGCAGAGATGTATTTATTGGAGGCTGTGGGTCTAGCAGTGACTTACAGCCTCTCACCCATGTTTTTGGAGCTTCTGATTTGTAGCCTGTATTGAAGATTGTCTTCTCAGTTTGAAGGGTGAGCTGCAGTCTCTCAGCCCAGACTGCCCTCACGTTTTAGTTAAAGAAGTTCCCCCCAGGGACTCTGAGGACACGAGAGTATCTTCCCATTTGCTGTCGGCAAATAGGAACTGAGCTCTTAATTTCAGTATCTGTTTGGAGAAGTTTTCTCTTTCCTACATGGTAGAACCAATTTGTGTAATTACAGATATTATCGCTTCACATGGTGAGTGAACTGTGTCGGGTTGTTTCTTCTTTGTACCTGAAGAAGACTGACGCGTTATTTTCTTGCAACAGCAACTCAAGAGTTGCAACAGCAACTCAAGGAAACAATAATGCTTGCCACATTTTTTTAGGTATGCAACCGTTTAAGTTTCCTGAGGTTAGGAATAATCTGAGCAAATAAATCTCCTGGTTGATGCCACAGTAATGTACAGTCTGACATGTGACGAGGTTGGGTTGAGAACTCTCTTGCATTTCAAGTGAAGAGTAGACAAATTGATTTGGTGTTTTAACCTTTGCTTTTCTGTTGCTAAACATGCCCTAAGCCCCGTGTTTCAGACATTGTATAGAAAGTTTAAATCCAATTCTGCCTCTAGTGGATGATTCAAAACACAGTGAAGGCAGCAGTGAGTTCTCCCGTGTGTTTTTTGGCCTTGAACGACTGGATCTCGCTTTGCCGTTAGCCCTGCTGTCACAGCACCGGTTGGACTAGATGACTAGAGAGTCCTTGGAATCTAACTTTTTCTGTGTTTTCTGTTTAGCACCCCCTCAACCAAAGAAAAGACCAACCCCAAACCACCCACAAATGTGATCTCATTAAAAACAAGAAGGAGATCTTCTGCAGTGTTCACTTGATGTGTTATCTCTTACTGTCCTTTCTCTGTGTTGAATTCAACGCAGCGAGATTTGCAGGCTTTGTCAGATTCCTCGCTTAGCGTGTGCCACGTGTCGGATCAGAAATGGGAGGTTATTGCTGTTTGTTTGTAATTGCCTGCTTGAGTAGGCTTAAGTTTTAAGAGCTGCTAATCCTGCAAGGAGAAGATTCTTTTTGGGACTCGTAAATTTAAGGCTGACTGGCCTTAAAGATAATTTACTGCAACCCCATTGAAAGCAGGGTTCCTTGATTTGCTTCAGCAGAGCTGGGAAGGCAGTAATTTTCACTCTCACCTCCAGTTCTGTAGCATTTGTGTATTAAAACAGGACTTTGGCTTTCAAGCTGTTAAACTGATACCTTCAGGAAACACAAAATTTACACAAGTGGTTTTATTTTGGTGATGAGATTATCACGAAAATATTCTTTTGCAATTCTTGAAAAGTCATTTTTTCCTTCAAAACAGTGTTTTTCCAGAGGACTGGGATCCATTACGTGGCTTGCTTGCAAAGTGAAATACAAATAACAGTGTTTTATGGAATCAGTTTAAAAACATGGATTACCAGGAAAGAAAAAAGGACTGCAGTGAGAAATTCAGCTGTAGAGAAGCAGGCTTTACCAAAGAGTTTTTAACTTGTTAAATCTCTCTTTATTAAAGCAGTAACCTCAAAGCTCACTGCTGTTTTGAAAGTATAGTAAAGGAAAGAGGACCTGTCTCTGTCCAAAGGCCCGCTGGGATGCAGATACAGACTGACAAACTAAATCATCGTATTCAAGTTAATTGGTAGTTTTGGGTCTCCTGTTTGCACTGGCCTTTATTTCTCTTCAATCCATTTAATGAAGAAAAATTAAACATAAAGGTAATAGCAGGATGCTAAGATTTTATTAGCAAAATATTCTCATAATAAAGGAGTACTTCATTAATGCTGAAAAATCATTGTCTAGATAATAAGGAAAAATGTGAATTTAACATGATTTCCTGTTGCAGCTACTGGACAAACACTCCATACCTCGATGGCCATGTAGTTGATGTATTGAACCAATATTCTATTTTGAAGCTCTGAATTTGCTTCTTGCTGACACACCAGGAGTCTTGAGCAGCCTAAAGGCAATTTCTCTGGTAGCCTGAGACCTGTTGCAGATGGTTGTTGTCATTGTCTTCAAACCAGACAGTCCCTGCCTTGCATCCCTCCCTTCACTGTGCTGCTTCGGAACGCTTGTCTCTTTCAGTGATGTATTTTTTTAAAAAAGAAAATAAGAGAGGTCATCAGTTCAGGAATACTTTGCTCGCGCTTCAGGGATTCTTATGGTGAAATAGCTCACATCTACACATTTTTAATAGCCTAAATATTAAAAAAAAATCAGTGGTCTATTTAATTGTGTGCTGGCTTCATTTACCTTACTCTCTGCTATCTTTTCCACGGGTATTTTAATGTTGACCTTTTCTCACTTGTTCAACTCATTCTTGGGGTTTATGCACTGTTATATAGAAACACAAACTGTTTTGCTTTACACGATACAAGACTGTGGGTGTGTAGCCCTGGAGTTTTCTTGTAATTGTAGATGTCTGATTTTTACTTTGCTTTGTACTACTGAACACCAACTCTAGAAATCAACTGAAAGCCAGTCCAGGTACAGTAACTGACAGCTGTGCTCAGGTGAGCGATGCTAGAAAAGCGTCGCTGTTGGATTACTCTGATCTTGTTGATTCCTGTGCCTGCAAACTGGTGTAATTCTTCAGCGCATATTTACGTTAAGAGAATTAAATGTGACTTTTTTCTAGGTAGGGACATGTTTTTCATGAACAAAGGATAACTGAAGATTTTAATGCAACTGTCGACTCTCTGGAAGTGTTCTAAACATTTACATGGCTCTGGAAGGCCCTCCCTAATGTTGTTGCAGTACTTGTAAACATTGGGAAACCACACTGAAAGATGAAAACTATTTAAAGTAACTTGTATTGAGAAAAGGAGGAGGATAAGGCAGCTACTTCTGAACAGTGTTAGATTCATCTGCCGAGCTGGTGTAGGGGACTTATCCTGACACAGATTGTCTGCCTTCTGCTGTCAGCTGTGGTCTTTTGAAAACAATGTGCAGGTAGTAGAAATGCATAAACTTGATGTAGGGGGCAAGAGAATATCCAAACCGCTCGCAGTGGAATTCAGTGCTTGCTAACCCCAGCCAGTGCTGGATATCTCGTATTAAACTCTCTCTTTTCTCCTTTCTTTTTCTCAGGAGACGTTGATCCAGCAGCAAGTGTCATTTCATTAGGTCCTGTATCTCTGATGTTGTGGATAGTGGAGTCCTCCAGCGATTAAATGAGAGCAGTGGACACATCTCAGCATGTCAGTCTCTAGAGCGTTCAGAATCGAAACCTGGGACAGGCTGGGGCCGTGGGGCAGAAACAAACAGCCTCCCCTCTTCCCCCCAAACCCACACAGAACAAGTGGAAGCTTCCAGTCATGGCCTACCAAAAAAAAAAAAAAAAAGGCAAAAAAAAAAAAAAAGCAGCTTTTTGTTATGGGAACCGTGTTGAGGGTTAATTTTCTCATAAGAGCAGAAGTACATGAACGGGATGGGTAACTTGACCAGTGAGCAGCTTGGTGGAAAAAAAGATCAACCTGAAATTCAGATGGATTGCACTGGAACGGAAAAGGTCTTTGACAGCTCGGTATGTGGGAGAATAAAGTTCTAAACTTGACGCAAGTTACGTTAACTCTGAATTGAGCACTTTGCGCTGGGGAGATGTTCTTTGGGGGCTGCGGATCTATGGTAGGAAAACAAAAATGTAGAGCAAATGGTGAAATTGAAAAGAAACCCCTGACAAGTAGGATAACTTCTCATCAAACACTCCTCAGCAAGAAAGTTTTTGGTTAAGGAACAGCCTTTGGCTGCCAGAAGAGCGAGGAAGGAGGAGTGGGGAGGGGTGAAAAAAGAGCCGAGGAGGTAAAATATCTGTTAAGATTTAAAATAGAAGGTGGAGTTGATGAGCACAGGGTGTTGACTCGTACTGCTTGGAACAGCCTGACACCAGCCTAAGGACAGGGATAGAGCTGAACCCATTGTATGTATCATTGAAAACCAAAACGTGCCAGTCAGCAGAACGGGAGGATGTCAAGGGGTGGATCCAAATATTTTGTTGATCTTCATGGGTTGGTAAGCCTCTGTGTCTATTGAAACAAACCAACTAAAAAAGTTCTAAAGAAAAGAGAAGATTTAAGTCTGGAAACAAGTAGAGTTTTTATTTTTCTTTCTACGTAGAAATGAGGTTTCTTGGTCTGTTTCTGACAATCTGTTATTTATTAGCATAGATTTTTTTTGTTTGCTTTCAGGTAGAGGTAGTTAATTGAGTTAAGGAGCTCATCTGTATGTTACTACTAATTCTTTTTTCTAGCTCTTTTAAAATCCTTTTTACCACTGTTTTTTGGTTTCTGCATGTAGGAAGAGAGAGACTTGTAAAATTGTAACATTTCATACAGAAATGCCGCCCGATCTTCACCAGCTTCAGAAATCTGACCTTTGCCAATGCTGCAATAAAGTGTTGTAATTTAGAATTGGTGTCTGTCTCTTTACATCGACTTCGTCCTTCCAAAAGGATGGTTGGAGGAGCTTGTTGGTGTGTTGTGGGGCTCAGGCAGCACTTCGTGCAGGCACCCTAAGAGCAGGTGGCATTTTACCAAAGCAGGAGGATTCTTGCCCCAGGAGACTTACTGAAAGCACAGTTAGTAAATGTAAGATTTTCTCACTGTTTAGCAAGGAGTTGTGAAACTGAGGTCGTCGTTTCACGTAACAGCAGCTGTCCTGTGCAGGCAGGGGCTCTGAAATACGTGACTTCACCACCCCTTCACCCTGCGGCAGCTTCGTCGTGACCCCTTCGTGTTGTGCAGTTGGCAAATGGAACCAGAGAACTGGCCTCTGTTGCATCAAGTGGCGACGCATTCGAGAGAAGAACTCAAGGTTTTTACAATATACCTACTTCAGGCTGTGGTGGTTCGTCACAGAATTGAACGTCAGGAGTGGACAAAACCTGCCAAGTGCGGCTCTGGGTCTGCTCCTCTCAGGTGCTGCAGCAGCGGTCGGGGACCGAGAAGCGCTGGAATGCTGGCAGCGCGTTTTGTCCCTCGAGGACCTCGCTGCTTGAAGGCTCGATGACACGCAGGTGCGTTTCTCTAGATTTCTGCCAGATCTCTGTGTGAGGAGGCAAGTATCCTGAAAGCCCCCCCAAACCCCCCGCTCTTTAGAGGAGGCATAGGTTCCAGGAGAACCATGTCTTCTTTTTCAGTTTTATGCCATTCCTTTAATTTTTTTCCACATAAAAATTCTGGGTGTGTTTATTAATTGCATTTGTAACTGAGCTCCTCCAGGAATGTCTCTTACGCAATATAACTGTATCCATTGGTCAAATCTAATTTCCAGTTCCTTGATGAAAAATGCCTACCCATTCCTAATGGCAAATTAAGCATCTAATTGTGGTTCAAACTAAAGTCAACTTCCTTTTCTCAACATGCTGCTTAGTTTCAAAAGCATTTAATTTATCCAAATTGAATAACCGCATAAAAATAAAACGTGAATTTGCATTAGCTTTATCGTGTGTCTGTCAATCTAATGCCTTGGATGGAATTTGGATCAATGGAAACATCTTTATAAAAATTATTTGCTGAAAATAATCTGGGGTCAGCTGGGGATTTCCCTGACTTCAGGCTGAAATCCAAAACCAATCCAGTGTGACCTTTTGAAGTTTAATTTGAAAATAAATTATTCTAAAGTTATACTGAATAAAAATGTCAAAAATTTTTGGAAGTGAAACAATCAGGGTTGAACATACTCATTGTTGGCTTGTCTGTTTGCTGGCCCCACACCCTGGGGCTGGGTGCTGTCCCGCTGCCTGCGGAGCAGCTTTGCACCTGGTTCAAGTCGGGATTGTGTGGCTTCATGGAGCTGCAGATGGTTGGGGCAGGAAGGGACCTTAAAGACCGTCTTGTTCCAACCCCTGCCATGGGCAGGGGCATCTTCCATTCAACCATGTTGCTCAAAGCCCTGTCCCGCCTGGCCTCGAACGCTTCCAGCGAGGGGGCTTCCACAGCTTCTCTGGGCAACCAGTCCCAGCGTTTCACCACCCTCACAGAAAAGAATTTCTTCCTAATGCCCAATCTAAATCCACTCTCGGTTTGAAACAGTTACCCCTTGTCCTGTTACTCCACTTCCCTCCCCTGCTTTCTCGTAGGGCCGTGCCCTGGGCTGAGAGCACCAGGACGAAAGTTCTCTGGGAGTCCTGGTGCTGGTGTCGAGCTGTGGGGCAGCTGGGGATGGGTCCGGTGACCCAAATGGACTGATCACGGTGTTCCTGCCTGTGGCATTTGGTATGTAAGCGCCCCTGAGAAGAGCCCTGAGGCCCGTAGCGCTGCTGTGTTGGAGGAGCTGCCGTCAGCGCCTCCTCACCCCGTGCTGCTGGAGTGACCACGTCCTGTTCCCACGTGGCACGGAGCACCGTTCCACGGAGCAGGTTGTCCTCCTCTGCCCCCCACCCTGGGTGGGAGCGGCACAGCTCCTCTTCTCTTTCTTCTGGACTGTCATCAGCATCTGCTGCCCACTCCAGTCTGGGACTTTTTTTTCTCTGCTCAGGACCTTGTTGTCAGCTGGAGGGCGTGGGTCCTGTATTAATACATTCTATTGTGTCTTCGGGCATATTGCACTCTTGTATGTAGGTAGCTTGGCATCTTTACTATTGCTGTTAGTATTATTCTTTTTTTCATTGAACTGCTTCAAGTTGTTTTCCAACTTTAAAGCCTCTCTCCCTGGTTTTCCTGTTATCCTCCCCTGGGAGGGGGGGGACCCTAGAGAGCATCTGTCAAGGTTTAGTGTCCGGCCCTGCCTTAAACTTTGACAGCCCCCTTTAAGCACTGCTGCTGTAAGGAAGAAATTTTTTACACTGAGGGTGGTGACACACTGGCACAGGTTGCTCAGAGAGCTGGTGGAGGCCCCATCCCTGGGGACATTCCAGGTCAGGCTGGAGGGGGCTCTGAGCACCCTGGTCTAGCTGAAGATGTCCCTGCTCGCTGCAGGGGGGTTAGATGACCTTTAAAGGTCCCTTCCGACTCAACGCGTTCTGTGATTCCATAAGGTCCTCCTGGAGCCTTCTCCAGGCGGAACGAGCCCATCTCTCTCAGTCTGTCCTCCCAGGAGAGGTGCTCCAGCCCCCTGATCGTGTTCCTTTCATTTTCTGTCATTAGAACACTTTGTTTTCCTTTAAAGAACGTTTAATTAAAATGGTCAGGTGAATGCCTTGGTTTTGACACAGGAACAAGGATAAACAGTTTCGATCAGTGCTTTTCTGTTATCTATGAATATTGCTGCTTTATCCAGATTACAAGGTGTTTATATTAGGTGTAACATCGTTAATTCAAGTAATTGTTCCTCTTTTCCTCCAGCACAGTGACCCGCAGGTGTGGCAGGTCCCTGGGGAAATCACGCCAAATTTAAGCCGTGGCACCATTCGATGGGAGAGAGGATGTTCCTCTGGGCTCATTTCCCAAGGGCTGCCAGCTGAAGGCGCTATTCCAAAAAGCATTTCTAAAGTGGCGTTCCTGAGCACACGTGGAAGTAGTTAAATCTGGGAAAATGCACGTATATGAAGGAGAAATTGCTTCATGTCCTTGATTGCATAAAAAATTTCTATTATCTTATCATTCTCCGAAAAGAGTTTGGATTCAAGTCAGGTCTGGGCATTTCAAGTTGCATCTTCACTGATAGGAGGCTCGAGCTGACTTGCTGACAACCAGAAAAATTGTTGCATAACTGTACTCAACCATTATTTTTTTCCTCAGATTTCGATGGTAACGTCTCTTCCCGCAGCTTTCAAGCCCCTAAAGCTCAAGACAGGGACTGGGTGGATGAAGTCCCTCCCATTGTAGGAGATCAGGTTTGTGACCACCTGAGGAACCTGAACGTATGTAAGTCCCTGGGACCCGATGAGCTGCATCCTGGGACATCTGAGGGGTCGAGCACCTGCCCTGTGAGGACAGGCTGAGAGAGTTGGGGCTGTTCAGCCTGGAGAAGAGAAAGCTGCAGGGAGACCTCACAGCACCTCCCAGTACCTGAAGGGGCTACAGGAAAGCTGGGGAGGGACTCTTGATCAGGGAGTGTAAAGATAGAACAAAGGGTAGCGGTTTCCAACTGAGAAAGGGTAGATTTAGATTAGATATTGGGAAGAAATTCTTCACTATGAGGGTGGTGAGACACTGGAACGGATTGCCCAGAGAAGTTGAGGACTCCCTGGAAGTGTTCAAGGCCAGGTTGGATGGAGCTCTGAGCAAGCTGGTCTGGTGGGAGTTGTCCCTGCCCATGGCAGGGAGGTTGGAACTAGAGAATTGTTGAGGTCCCTTCCAATCCAGCCCATTCTAACATTTCATAATTCGTGGTGCATCACTTGAAAGCCGGTTTGAGGTGCTGTGTGAGTCTTTGCCCCAGCAGGGAGCCGAGGTGGCTGGGAAGCTCTGAAATCAGAAAGTGCCGGGTTCAACCGGGAATGTCAACCCCTTGGACTGCAGCTGGCAGTATCGGCCGGCTGACTCTACCCTGTAGGGCTGTACTGTGATGAAATTAAAAGAGGAAAATCTTTCTTTTTCATGAGTTGCTCAGTTTTCAGACTTTCTGAATTTTATTAACGTTCCAGGCCTTGAAAGATGTCTGTTGTGCTGTTTCTATTATGTAGATAAAAATATACACA